ACTAACTTATTAACTCACTTTACTTCCATTCTTCTTTCTTGTGGCTGTTGTGGGAGGAAATCCACAGGTGGACTGTTCATAATTTTACCATACCTCTGCCTGACAGCTTTTTACAATTGTGTCTCATGGAGTAGGAGGGGTGATAGATAATCACTTACTGTTACGTTACCAAGATTAAACACGTGGATATATTTGAATGCAAGGAATATTATGAACAATTCAGTTTGATGTAGCATGTTGAGTCCTACTACAGAGACAGTTAAAGCAATAAACATACACATGTATATCGAGATGGAGTCAGGTGAAATTGAGTAGCAACCAGTAAGCACTACATCGGTTGGTATTGCGTGACGACACTAAGTTTATTCAGGTATAGGTACACAAATAGTTACATAAATTATCATATATAGCAGTATATGTGTGTTATACCTCTGATAACCCAAGAAAGTCAGATAAAATGGCTTACTAGTCCCTGGCTGCTTATGTTGAACACACGTAAAGAAACGGAGGAACGCTGCAGCAGGTCTACTGCCCCATACATGACAGGTTCTCAAATTCAATCCCCTCTCATTCTCTCTGAATTAAAAGTCTATAAGATATGTGCACTCATCTTCGAGATACTATAACTCTGAGGAAAGAACCTATAACTACATTATTTTGGTGTGAATAAGTATATTATTATTGTCCACAAGGGTCAAACAGCGCTGTATAGATGGAGAAGCTCATGTCATTAATAAATGTGTAACACGTCACTTTTATAATGCGAGTTTTCTATATCTGAACAATAATCTAGACCTAGACCTACTTTACACAGCACTTAAAAAAAACGAATACTAGCTTGGACTTTTTATCGACCATAAGAAAGCTTCTGATACAGTAGACCACAGCATCCTACTCCTCAAGTTTGATCATTACGGTATAAGAGGCCATTCACTTGCATACATCAAGTCGTACCTTATTAACAGAAAGCAATACGTCTCTGCCAAGGACACAACCTCCTCAACAGTATACTGGTGTGCCACAGGGAAGCGCTCTTGACCCCCCATCCTTTTCCTTTTATACATCAACGACACTCCAAGCGTATCACAACTTACACCTGTTCTCTTGGCTGACGACACGACTTTTGTCATCTCCCACCCTAATCTAGCCTCACTCAACACTATTGTTATTGAAGAGCTTGCTAAAATAGCAACCTGGATGACTGTCAATAAACTTACACCTAATATAGACAAAACTTTCACATTGTTTGGGGGTAGAGCAAGTGAGGTCCAACTAAACATTATGCTTAACAACATCCAAATGCTAAACATAACGAGAGAAAATTCCTGGGTCTACACCTTGACACCCCTCAAGGAAGGTTCCTTGACGCTGGTGAGGGGCTCTTGATATAGGGAATTGGATCTGTGCTCTGGTTCCCTGAGTTGAGCCTGAATACCTTCCATCCTCCCGCACATGCGCTGTATAATCCTACGGGTTTAGCGCTCCCCCATGATTATAATAATAATTCTACACCTTGACAACAACCCAAAATCTAACTCCCATACCCAACACAAAAAAAAATCTAAAACAGCTGGCATTCTCACGAAGATACGTTACTACGTATCACTTATAGCACTACTGACACTATACTATTCACTGATCTATCCCTACCTGACAACAATAACTGACTTTCGACAGCAGTTGACTTGCCACAGTAGGTGACTTGACTTGCTACAGCAGCTGACTTGCCACAGCAGCTGACTTGCCACAGTAGGTGATTTGACTTGCTACAGCAGCTGACTTGCCACCAGGAGGCCTGGTCACAGACCAGGCCGCGGGGGCGTTGACCCCCGGAACTCTCTCCAGGTAAACTCCAGGTACCTTACCTATACTATTTGTGCCTGGGGTTCCACAATGACAAATCACCTAAAGCCAGTAATAACCCAGCAAAAGCCTGCAGTGCGAATGATCACATAATCCACTGCTAGATAACACCCCCACCCCACCCATTTTTCAAAGACCTAAACCTACTCACTGTACAAGACATTCACTCGTACTACTGTGCAACCTACTGTTATAGACCAATCAATTCTAATATCAGTCCCGACCTAAAGCGCTTTCTTGACAATTGCAGGACACAATACTAGGCAAAAAAAAAAAAAACTCTGACATTCCCCGTCTCAGGCTAAATCTTTTCAAAATTTCAATGTCTGCTTGTGCTCCCTAGGTTGGAATACTGCTGTACACTAACGGCCCCCTTCAAGGCTGGCGAAATTGCAGACCTGGAGAATGTACAAAGAACTTGCACGGCACACATAAGCGATAAGGCACCTAAACTACTGGAAACTGTTGAAGGTCCTTGATCTGTATTCCCTTGAACGCAGGTGAGAGAGATAACATGATAATATACACTTGGAAGGTCCTGGAGGGATTGGTACCAAACCTGCACACGAAAATCACTCCATATGAAAGCAAAAGACTCGGCAGGAGATGCAACATTCCCCCGATGAAAAGCAGGAACGCCACGAGTACACTGAGAGACAACACAGTAAGTGTCCGGGACCCAAGACTGTTCAACTGCCTCCCAGCATACATAAGGGAGATTACCAATAGATCCCTGGCTGTCTTCAAGAAGGCACAGGACAGGCACCTAAAGTCAATACCTGACCAACCGGGCTGTGGTTCGTACGTCAGGTTGCGTGCGGCCAGCAGTAACAGCCTGGTTGATCAGACCCTGATCCACCATGAGGTCTGGTCTCAGACCGGGCCGCAGGGGCGCTGACCCCTGAAACCCTCTCCAGGTAAACATAAAAGGGCCCAAAATCTGGAACTCTCTACCAGAAATCTCCAGAACCACTGGCTCAGCTAGCATTTTTAAAACTACAGGTAGAAAACACTCCTTAATTTATCACAGCCCATCATAAATACGTATGTAAAAACTATACGTGCATTTGCTTAATATCATGAACATAGGTAAAACATTATAATCAATATCTACTTACTCTCAATATCTGTAAATCCTCTCAAATGTTAATCATTCCACTGTATTCACCTTAGGTTAATATCAAAACTGTAATTCTTCTCTACCAAACTTATTAAAGCCATATAGCATGATCTAATAGAATATTCAATTCTCTTGTATTCATTGTAACTCACCTAATAACCATATGTACAGTTACTGCACTGTTGTTGCCTTATTAATCTTAAGTTAGTCTATGTTTGCCCGAAATGTTCTGCATCTAAAGGGACTTTTGGCATGTACACCCAATTGTTATATGCCTTTGTACAAACATGTATCATGCTAAAATAAAATTATTATTATTATTATTATTATTATTATTATTATTATTATCATCATCATCATCATCATCATCATTATTATCCCTTTCAGTTTTATTATGCGCCCCATACTCATATTGTAAGGGAAAGCGGTATTCAGTGATTAATACCTTAATTGTCTCATGTGATTAACCCTAATTCTTGATGCTTTCAGTGTTGGTATATGTAGCAGTGCATCACCAAAGTGAATTAATTACGTAATGATTGAGCTACATGAAATTACAATTTAGTAAATCATTGATTATAAGGTTTAATGTGGCACTGAGGACACTCCCACGGGGTGCCTAATTCAATCTTTTGTTACACTTTTGTGCTTTTGGAATTGTACAGAAGACTATTAGATAGGAAGCCTATTATCAAATGAGGAAGCCATCAGGAACCTTCATGCATTCAGGTAAGTTCACTTGGGGGTACCATATTCATTAGCAATATCACAGAGTTTAGTTAGTTTAATATCTTCATTATATACCCCATACCCATCCTATGGGTGGTAGTCAAAAGATTACAGAGGCACATAATGGGTACAGGGACTGGGCTGCAAGGTTTTGATAGCTAAATAAATTACAATAGTATTGAATTTAGTTATTTACGTGCTTATATCTGGTTACAGTTGCATTAATTTACGTCAGTGACATACTACTGTATAGAAAGCCCCTTGTTATGCAGAGCATTTCTGAAAAATTAGGCAAATTTTGTCCCCAGAATGTGAGCCACACCAGTCAACTAACTAGGTGACATCAATGTCGTACTACTATATAGAAAGCCACTTGTTATGCTGAGCACTTCGGGTAAATTAGGTCCATGTCCCAGGATGCAACCCATACCAGTCGACTAACTCCTAGGTACCCATTTCACTGATTGGTGAACATAGACAACCGGTGTAAAGAAACACGCTCAGTGTTTCTACCCACGCTGGGAATCGAACACAGACCCTCGCCGTGTGAAGCGAAAGCTTTAGCGATCTGGCCACGGGGCACCGTGGCCTAATATTTCCACCCGTACCGGGCATCGAACCACGGACCTGTTTGTAAGCCGAGTAAGTTAGCAGTCGAGCTACGGGACACCCAAAGATTCTGTTTACTATCTTGTTGGATGCACCACGGGCATGTGGCTCTTCCTGCGGGGTAGAATGGTAGGTTGACTGACTGGTGTCAGTCAACCTCAGCATCAAGTCAACGAAGTTATTTTCGTAATACTGTTCGCAGACAGCCCATGATTGTAATTTATTCCCTCCTTGAAGGCAGATGCCTTTGCCAATTCGTCAGTTTTATTATGCATCTGAAGATCAGTGTAAGATGGAGTCCACAGCCTCCACTCTACAGTTTTATCATACCTGTGTCTGCCTTCAAACTCACAAATACATATTTGTACTTCCCTCTCTACACCTCGCCAGATATATGGCAAAAGTAATCGATTGTAAAGCGGAGAATATTTCAGTGAAACACTTATTTTCATCCCAATGTGAATATTATCATTGTAATTAGAATGTTATAATTTTACTCGTTACAATGTATTGTAACAGTTGTTGTTAGTTAGTGATAAAGACAGCAATAAATACTTCATTATCCAGACTCTACAGGAACAATAACATTAGACTAGTGTTGCCATGTAACAAACAGAGGTAGATAGATGCTGTCTGTTTATACCGCTTTTGGCACTTGACACTTAATTTGCAGGTAGATTTACTGCCACACAGTTCAGTAGAACTTAATGAGGTCTATCATAAACTTAAAATATTTGTCAATGTGTGTTATGTGGTAGTAAAGGTGTACGAGGTCAGTATGTGAGGGTCGGGACGATGCCTTCCACACTAACTATTAACTACTCGCACAAACATTACCATCAAACTTTTAATTTCCTAGGAGTTATTGTTAAATGAATAGCAGATTTTAGTTTAGGGGTTAGACTTCCCTAGATCATACCATATAATTAAGGTTAAAGAAACTATCTTCCAACTGCATTAGACTTAACCTCAAGCCAAGTATTTTCATAGTACTGTATATAACATTTCAAATTAACTAAGAGTTTCTGAAATAAATCAGACTGACGACCACAGTGAGTGCTTAAAGGGGAAATACCTCTAAGCAAGCTGGACGTATCCTGAAGAAGAAAGGAAAAAAATTGAGTACCAATCTTATGGGCTTGGTGCTATTACCTTAATATAACATTCAAACACGGCACTAAACACTATTGTATCTTGAGCTTGTATAAAAAAAGGACACATTTTGTCACACTTTTTTGGGGGGGGGTCACACTTTTTTTTAGACTAACCTAATTTAAATTTTCATTATTTATCACCAATAGAATGTCTATAACTGGGAGTATTCACAATCACAATTAAAGATTTGTCAGAGGAGACATCTTGCAGACAGTCCTAATCATTAGGGGTAATAAAGTCATCAGTTGCAAAACTTCTTCAATAAATGTCTTCAGTGTGCATTGTATTACCACAATCTGTCAGTATTAACATACCTGTACATTTCTATAACTGCAGTATTATGTTCTTTCATGAGCGGTGCTTTGGCTCTGGTGAAGGGCTCTTGTTCCAAGGAATCAGAGCTATTTGCTCTTTCCTTATATCAGATCTGATTATTTCCCATGCCTAAGGTAATGTATGACCCCCCCCATGGGTTTAGCACTTCTATGAATATTATTGTTATTGCTACCTTATTATGCATAAATTTCAGCCATTGTATAACTGTAATAGTTATAAAATGGAAGCTAATCTTATGCAGTGCTTCTCATGTATAATTAGTGTCAGCTTTGCAGTAGTAGAAACTGATAGATACAAAATGAAGAAAAGTCTTAAGCAGTCTGTCTTGCTTACTTGCAGAAGGGCTTTTTGAATAATTTTGCCTTGAGGTTTACAAAATGGGTCACATCATATCCAGTCTTACCCCAGCAATGGGCACTAGTACATAACTATAAATGGCAATCTCATTCATTCCCAACAGATATTCATTACAAGGCAGAATACTTAACTCTCCTGTTTCTCTGATATGGCTATGACCTAATCTCCCCACACACATACATATATAACTCAGTGTATATACTGGTACATGAAGAGTTAACCTTTGGTTGACCTTACCCCAGTGGAAGATGGCTGGAGTGTTAGAAAACCTTAATTTAAAGAATGTTTTGAATTAGTGGAAAATTATGAATGTGTGAACATATTCTATATGTTTTATACAAAAAATTATAATCCATACAGTAGACACTGTATCTTCTTTCCATTTAAATCCTATATAATTATGTGCAGTATTACCAATGGTAACAAAAATTTAATGTATAGAGTACTATACAGTGCTCATTTTTATATTAAAAATATTCTTGTATGTATTATTATAAGTAAATATTTACCTATTTACTTATAATAATACCTATTTGTAATTATTACTTTTACTTGTATTATTATTATAATTATAATTTTTATTAGCCCAAGAATGAGTCAAGTAAATCATTTAGTGTTTGTTTTTACATTAGTCTTTATCATTGTAATGCATGCAAACACAATGAATAGTTTGTGAATAACTGCATATTTTATTTATTTTAGAACCTTACATTTGCTATGTCTTCTTGCAGTAACCTGAATTGTGAGAGTTGAAGCAATGACTGTGTATCCTGATGTTAAGGAATATATTCTACTACCTCTGAAAAGGAATGAGTTTTTAAGGAAAAAATCTTAAATTAAAAGTGCATCTTTCAAAACACAGAGAGGAGGAAAGCCTTGTATATCAGTTCGTCTAGGGTGTGCCTCACCTTGCCATTCCCATTTCTCATAAAGTATCTTCACTGCATTATACAAGCACTGAATTGCTTGTAGAGGATGAGTTGGTTTCACTGCTGGAAACTAAGTGCCATTTGAAGTTAGAATTAGGTAAGAGGGAAGTATGGAGAGAGAGGGTGGGCTAGTGGATGGGGGGTGGGTTTTTTTTTTATGGAGGAGGAAGTTATTTATTGAGGAGGAAGTGGATATGTGCAAGTATGTAAATGAAATTAATTCCCAGAAAATTTGTATTACTAAAACATTTGTTGATGAATTATGTAAAACTATGATTCACTGTGCATTTTTCACTTAAATTATTACACAATTTTGATGTTCTGGTTACATTTTGTATAACAATAGCCTTCTCTAAATATTATAATATATAGTCAAGACTTGGATGAACATATTACAGTTTAGTTTTTATATTGAAATGTAAACTTAAAAAGAATACATGTATATTAAAAGTAATTTTTACTCAGATTTTAATCCACTAAAAAGTTTAACATTTTAGATTATAATACATCATGTCTTACAGTAATTGTTGTGTGTTTACATTTACAATGTTGTGGAATTATAGGAGAGTATGTAAAAGAATGAAGTTAAAAGCGAACACAGTAAAGAACCATTGTAGAATATGAACAAATTAATGAAAGACTGAATGTTAGATTGGAGAGGGAAAGTATAGAGGTTGGAATCTATTTAATGAGGGATGATGTGTTGCTATCTCTGGGTCGTCCTGTCATGGTGGGAAATGGCCGGTATGATAAAAATACTTATTTTTTTTTACTGTATGTATCTTCTCACTTATTGTAATTAGATGAACTGTTTTTTCCATTGTCATTAGGCCATCTTAGAAAGCAGTTTTATTCCTTTAATTGCAGTTGTGTGACCCATATGTGTTTAGCAGTTATTTTTAATAATATCTAAGAGAGAGTAAGAAAATGTTACTCTGAACAAACATATACCATACCACAATATATCATGTATGTACAGATTTATTGTATGAAAGTAATCGTAAAAAATAAAGCTTTTCAATTTCTGATGGAGCATACAGTTTGCATTCTTCCCAAAATATTCGAGTTGTGCTATCTCAATTTAAGGAACTAATATGTTTGGTTAAATTTTATAAGATAAATTGCATTTTATGTGGAAAATAAATTTTTGATACGAGTTAACTGAAGTGATCCCATGCTACTGTGTAATTTTTTATTACTTTCAGATTTTTTGAGATGGAGCTTGGAAAAGAGAAAGATGCAGCCTCTCACAACATGGAAGAACAAGAAAATGAAGACACAATTGAAGATGGTACCATAGTTCTAAATTTATCTGATGATTGCTCAATTGAAGAAGAGGTGCGATTACTGATGCAGTCTCAGAAAAAGATTGAACCTAAACGCAGGGCAGAAATTACGTGGAAACGTAAAGTAGAAATTTTGCAAGAAATTGAGAAACTCCCTGGCAAAATATCTCATAGAGAAATGGCAATTCATTTTGGAATACCTCGTAATACTCTCTTTAATATTCTACGTGCAAGAGATAGAATTATAGAGGCTTATAAACGTAACCCAAATGGACGAAGAAAAAGATTAAGATCTGGAAAAGCTCCTCATGTTGAACATGCTCTCTATCAGTGGTATAAAACTGCTAAAAAGCAAAAACTACCTCTTTCAAATGTTGTTTTGTTTGAAAAAGCTAGAGACCTTGCTGTATCTCAGGGAAGTTACAGTTTTCGACCTACAACTGGATGGTTAGAAAGATGGAAGAAACGGCATAATATAACTTTTTCTGTTGAGGAATACCTCCAAGGTTGTAATGAAAATGGGAGTGGCGATGGAAGTGATGATGAAAAAACGATTGATACGAGTGATATTAAGGATGAGGGCAATGAGCATGATATGGAAGATGATCAGGCCTCAGAACAAGAGGATGAAGATGATAATTCATCTCCAACAGCCCAGGATATTAGTAGCCTGTTACAGATTAGCCTTCAGGAAACGGATGACTTTATACGAAGATCAGGAAAAGGAATAAAAAGACAAACGCTAACTTTAAGGCAAAAATTTGAAATTGTAAAAGCAGTGGAAAGTTTACCTATGAAATGGAGCTTGCGTGATATGGCCTCATTTTTTGATGTACCTAAAACCACAATGCTTCACATGATGAAAAATCGAGACATTATTATTAAAAATTACATAAATAGCCCAGATAAGGAGAGACGACGTAATAAAAAGGGAAAAGCTCCTGATATTGAAGATGCGTTATATGTATGGTATTTAAAAGTTAAAGAAAAAAATTTACCCATAACAGCAGGTATCTTAAGAAAAAAAGCCAAGGCTATTGCTCTGTCGCTTGGAAAACCTGACTTTGTGCCAACTGAAGGTTGGTTTGCTCGTTGGAAAAAACGTAATAATGTGACCTGTGGGCGTCCCAAGCAATATGATGGAACAGAGACACAAAATGTTCTTCCATCAGAATATGATGATGGTGATATGCAATTATTCCATACTGCATATGAAAAAGAAACTCGTACCTCTCTATCATTGAGACAAAAAGTGGAAATAATCCATCAAATGGAAGCTGAACCTAATGTAAAGTTAAGAGAATGGGTAGACATGTATAATGTATCTAAGTCCACTCTTAGTATAATTAAAAAAAATAAAGAAACAATCCTTAAAGCATTCTATGGTGATCCATCAGCAGATCGGAAGCGTATGAGGAAAGGTTCTGCCTCAGAGGTGGAAGAAGCTCTTTTTAAGTGGTACAATGAGGTAAAAGATCAAAATGGTCCTCTCACTGGGCCCATTTTACGTCAAAAAGCCAAAGAGCTTGCTGAGGTCTTGGGAAAAGTTGATTTCATCCCCACTTCTACTTGGCTTGACACATGGAAAAGAAAATATGGGTTGAGTGAAAATAGGGAGATTGAGCAAGATACACCAACAATCCCAACTCAGAATGGTGTTCAACCTTCCACAGAATACAAACAGCAGATTCGTTTTCAGTTTAATGAAGAACACCACAATACAGGGAATAACATGGGTGTTATGCAGACTCCACCTGTTGTTCCTAACACAATGAAACCCCTGCCAAACCCACAGTCTATGACCAACACATATAGCAGAGATATGTTTGGTTTTCCAGTTCCATCCACAACTCAGGAGTCCATTGGTTATGATGGGTTCTCCAGAGGTCCCATTAACCCAGCAGAAGTAACAGTGCAGGCGGGAAATAATATGGGACCTCCTGTAGGAAATGGAGGAGGGGGACAGCAGTTTTCTTCAGTTGCAGCAGCAAACAAATTTTTAGGATCACACATATATAGCACAGATCTCTACTGTGGCAGAGATACGTTTTCAGGAAACACAATAAATCGGGGAGTGATAACAAGCTCACGCGATCATACAGTGTCTGCACCAACGGCCTCACAAGGAAATTACACAGCAGAAAGACTTTTACAGCAATACAAAATGGATAATCACCAACCCAACAATTTTCTTCCCCCACCGGATGGACTAACAGAAAGTTCTATTCGACGTGCCATGATGGACATTAGACGGTATCTTGAACAATCCCCTTACCCATTAGACTGGTCACTTGTACATAACTTTGAAATGCTACTTCATACAAACATTGCTACCAGAAACCATCTTCCCTTGTAAATAAAATTGTGTATAAGGGATTGTATTTGTGTGACTGGAGTGTTGGCTGTGCTCATAATGTATGCTACTGAAAAATATTCTTTTTATGGTCTAGGAATGTAACTATAGTATATATTTTCCCATGGTTATAATTTAGTAATTTTTATTTCTTTACACTTGAACATTTGTTTATAAATATAGAGTAGACAATTTATTATTTACTCCTGGATCTGAAGAGAATTGTTTTCATGTATTTTATAAGCAGTGATAGTATATGAGGCAGAAGCTTATGGAAGCTTTTTGCTAGAAAGAATCTTAGGTAACTTATTTTTTTAACCACGTGCTCATTCGTGTTTTTGTAAATGTTATTTCTGTACATAGTTTTTAGTACTGTATATAGTAAACGATTATCAAATACTATACTGTCTTTAAATAAGTGCCTAATTAGTTGTTTCATACAAGGGTAAGATTCACAACTAACCCAAAAGTTTTGAAAATCAAAAATGCAGTGCAAGTCATAAGTCAGCTCTGAACATTTGGAGGTGAATAGAAAGCCAAGATTAGGTTAAATCTCATCTTTGCTGAAGATAGATCATCTGAGGCTTTTCTGTTTGCTGTGTTTGTGTTGACAGTACAATATACTGCAAGGATGTGTACATAGTGTCATAAATAAGTGATGTACGTGTGGTTGGTTTCAGTGGCTCACATATACACAATGGACCACATACACTAATGAATCACATACATCTAGTGGTGTACCTAAGGTATGACACGTACTCTGGGTGCCACTTGAAGGGGGACACTAATGAGCAGTTTCTATTAAAATCGGACAAGCCATCCTCAGATAGTGAAAAAAAAATTTCTTCAGACATGATCTGGTTTTGATTATCATGGGTGAGAAGCACTAGGATGGCTAGATTGTTAAACCACATATAAATTATTAGGTAAAAATACAGTGCTAGGAGCTACGTGATTTCATACCAAGCAACTAAAGTCAGTTCCTGATCAGCCGGGCTGTGGCTCGTACGTTGGTTTGCGTGCAGCCAGCAGCAACAGCCTGGTTGATCAGGCGCTGATCCACCAGGAGGCCTGGTCACAGACCGGGCCGCGGGGGCGTTGACCCCCGAAACTCTCTCCAGGTAAACTCCAGGTAAACAGTACCACTGCTCATTGCCAACTGGCAGTAAGACTATTCTCCTGTGCAAACTAGGGAAGTAGTCTAGAATTTTGTGCAAAATCTGTGAAATTTTATTTTTTTTTTTTTTTTTATTATCAACCGGCCGATTCCCACCAAGGCAGGGTGGCCCGAAAAAGAAAAACTTTCACCATCATTCACTCCATCACTGTCTTGCCAGAAGGGTGCTTTACACTACAGTTTTTAAACTGGCAACATTAACACCCCCCCTTTTAGAGTGCAGGCACTGTAAATTCCCTCTTTCCCGGACTCAAGTCCGGCCTGCCGGTTTCCCTGAATCCTTCATAAATGTTACTTTGCTCACACTCCAAAAAGCACGTCAAGTATTAAAAACCATTTGTCTCCATTCACTCCTATCAAACACGCTCACGCATGCCTGCTGGAAGTCCAAGCCCCCCGCACACAAACCCTTTACCCCCTCCCTCCAACCCCTTTCCCAGGCCGACCCCCACCCGCCTTCCTTCCACTACAGACTGATACACTCTTGAAGTCATCTGTTTCGCTCCCTTCTCTCTACATGGGCCGAACCACCTCAACAACCCTTCCTCAGCCCTCTGGACAACAGTTTTGGCAATCCCGCACCTCCTCCTAACTTCCAAACTAAAGAATTCTCTGCATTTTTATTCACACCACACATTGCCCTCAGACATGACATCTCCATGCCTCCAGCCTTCTCCTCGCTGCAACATTCATCACCCACGCTTCACACCCATATAAGAGCGTTGGTAAAACTTACCCCATACATTCCCTCTTTGCCTCAAGGACAAAGTTCTTTGTCTCCACAGACTCCTAAGTGCACCACTCACCCCTTTTTCCCTCATCAATTCTATGATTCACCTCATCTTTCATAGACCATCCGCTGACACGTCCACTCCCAAAAAAAAATCTGAATCGTTCACCTCCTCCATACTCTCTCCCCCCAATTGATTATTCAACTTTCTCACCTAATCTTTTTGTTATCCTCATAACCTTACTCTTTCCTGTATTCACCTTTAATTTTCTTCTTTGCACACCCTACCAAATTCATCCACCAATCTCTGCAACTTCTCTTCAGAATCTCCCAAGAGCACAGTGTCATCAGCAAAGAGCAGCTGTGACAACTCCCACTTTGTGTGTGATTCTTTATCTTTTAACTCCACGCCTCTTGCCAAGACCCTCGCATTTACTTCTCTTACAACCCCATCTATAAATATATTAAACAACCACGGTGACATCACACATCCTTGTCTAAGGCCTACTTTTACTGGGAAAAAATTTCCTCTTTCCTACATACTCTAACTTGAGCCTCACTATCCTCGTAAAAACTCTTCACTGCTTTCAGTAACCTACCTCCTACACCCATACACTTGCAACATCTGCCACATTGCCCCCCTATCCACCCTGTCATACGCCTTTTCCAATCCATAAATCCCACAAAGACCTCTTTAGCCTTATCTAAATATCTGTTCACTTATATGTTTCACTGTAAACACCTGGTCCACACACCCCTTTACCTTTCCTAAAGCCTCCTTGTTCATCTGCTATCCTATTCTCCGTCTTACTCTTAATTCTTTCAATTATAACTCTACCATACACTTTACCAGGTACACTCAACAACTTATCCCCCTATAATTTTTGCACTCTCTTTTATCCCCTTTGCCTTTATACAAAGGAACTATGCATGCTCTTCTGCCAATCCCTAGGTACCTTACCCTCTTCCATACATTTATTAAATAATTGCACCAACCACTCCAAACTATATCCCCACCTGCTTTTAACATTTCTATCTTTATCCCATCAATCCCGGTGCCTTACCCCCTTTCATTTTACCTACTGCCTCACGAACTTCACCCACACTCACAACTGGCTCTTCCTCACTCCTACAAGATGTTATTCCTCCTTGCCCTATACACGAAATCACAGCTTCCCTATCTTCATCAACATTTAACAATTCCTCAAAATATTCCTTCCATCTTCCCCAAAACCTCTAACTCTCCATTTAATAACTCTCCTCTCCTATTTTTAACTGACAAATCCATTTGTCTCTAGGCTTTCTTAACTTGTTAATCTCACTCCAAAACTTTTTCTTATTTTCAACAAAATTTGTTGATAACATCTCACCCACTCTCTCATTTGCTCTCTTTTTACATTGCTTCACCACTCTCTTAACTTCTCTCTTTTTCTCCATATACTCTTCCCTCCTTGCATCACTTCTACTTTGTAAAAACTTCTCATATGCTAACTTTTTCTCCCTTACTACTCTCTTTACATCATCATTCCACCAATCGCTCCTCTTCCCTCCTGCACCCACCTTTCCTGTAACCACAAACTTCTGCTGAACACTCTAACACTACATTTTTAAACCTACCCCATACCTCTTCGACCCCATTGCCTATGCTCTCATTGCCCATCTATCCTCCAATAGCTGTTTATATCTTACCCTAACTGCCTCCTCTTTTAGTTTATAAACCTTCACCTCTCTTTTCCCCTGATGCTTCTATTTCCCCTTGTATCCCATCTCCCTTTTATTTCTCAGTGTAGCTACAACTAGAAAGTGATCTGATATATCTGTGGCCCCTCATAAACATGTACATCCTGAAGTCTACTCAACAGTCTTTTATCTACCAATACATAATCCAACAAACTACTGTCATTTCGCCCTACATATATCGTGTATACTTAATTATCCTCTTTTTCTTAAAATATGTATTACCTATAACTAAACCCTTTCTATACAAAGTTCAATCAAAGGGCTCCCATTATCATTTACACCTGGGACCAAACTTACCTACCACACCCTCTCTAAAAGTTTCTCCTACTTTAGCATTCAAGTCCCCTACCACAATTACTCTCTCCCCTTGGGTTTAAAGGCTCCTATACATTCATTAACACTCCCAAAATTCTCTCTCTCTCCTCTGCATTCCTCTCTTCTCCAGGTGCATACACGCTTATTATGACCCACTTCTCGATCCAACCTTTACTTTAATCCACAAATTCTTGAATTTACACATTCATATTCTCTTTTCTCCTTCCATAACTGATCATTTAACATTACTGCTACTCCTTCCTTTGCTCTAAATCTCTCAGATACTCCAGATTTAACCCCATTTATTTCCCCCACTGAAACTCTCCTACCCCCTTCAGCTTGTTTCGCTTAGGCCAGGACATCCAATTTCTTTTCATTCATAACATCAGCAATCATCTGTTTCTTGTCATCCGCACTACATCCACGCACTTTTAAGCAACCCAGTTTTATAAAGTTTTTTTTCTTCTCTTTTTTAGTAATTGTATACAGGAGAAGGGGTTACTACCCCATTGCTCCCGGCATTTTAGTCGCCTCATACGACACGCATGGCTTACGGAGGAAAGATTCTTTTCCACTTCCCCATGGACAATAGAAAAAATTTAAAAAGAACAAGAGCTATTTAAAAAAAAGGAGAAAAACCTAGATGTATGTATATATATATATGCATGTGCGTGTCTGTGAAGTGTGACCAAAGTGTAAGTAGGAGTAGCAAGATATCCCTGTTATCTTAGCGTGTTTATGAGACAGAAAAAGAAAAAGAAACCAGCAATCCTACCATCATGCAAAACAGTTACAGGTTTTTGTTTCACAGTCATCTGGCAGGACGGTAGTACTTCCCTGGGTGGTTGCTGTCTACCAACCTACTACCTACAACCTACAACCTATGTTCTTATTAAAAGTGCCATTTCCTTATTTCAGAGCATTGTGTTAGACCATAAAACATTTCTTCACAGAGAAGGAAAGTGGAACTGCCGTACCAGAAGTAATTGGACTCCTGAAGTGTTGAGAACAAAATAAAGCTGGGTTCAAAGTATTTCCAGAACAATGTGGGGCCTTTCCTACCAACAAATAACCTTCAATGAACAAAACTTGGTTCAAGAGGAAATTGGGATATGGTCATGGTGAGGAAGTGACTCACTCATGGCTGGTGTATTCCCCTTTTAAAAAGTCTGCATTTTGTATGTTGTCTTCTCTGTTCCCAGTCAGACCATCAGTCCTCATTGGAGCAAAAAAGTGAATTTGACCAGTGGAAATCACCTAAAAGGATCAACGTTCATGAAAATGCTAAGAATCATCTGGAATGCTTCAGACAGTAGAAAGAGATAGAAAGAAATTTAGCTAAAAACCGAGGAGTTACTGACACAGAACTTCAGTCACAGACTGAGAGGGAAAAGCAGCAGTGGCGTGATAGCTTGATGAGAATCCTTCAC